CCCGGCACTCCCCCCGCCAAGCACGCTCCCCCCCCCAAGCGCCCGTGCGCCATGTGCCCGGGGCCAGGCCAGCCCCGAGCACCTGGCAGGCGCATTGAAATGCCCCCGCGGGTACCGTGTTGGGGACCACGGGGTTAGGGCATTGGCCTGGGGATCCCAGTGCGGTGGGCTCAAGCACTGTCCACCCATGAGCAACATACTAACCTAACCCTAATCAGAGGCAGCAGCAGGCAGGAGCTGGCCCACAAGGGGAGCCTCATACCCAATTTAGCTCCTGCCTTCCACCTCACACTGCTGCCCCTGAGAGGCAGCAAAATGGGGCAGCAGCAGCCCCTGTCCCATGGGTGGCCTGAACTCCCCACAGACAGGAGCTGCGCCGGCATCCAGCAGAGCTGTCTCTGTCTGCAGCAAGTCTGAGAGACGGGCAGCAGCATAGGGGGAGGGGGAAGAAAGAGGGAAGCAGCTCCGCAGGAACTGATACTTGCAGGGAGCTGGTTTGCAAGCCAGCTTCCCACATGTACCAGCTCCCACCTGCTCCCTCACCTTCTGCACTGCTGCATCTGTCCGAGGCAGCAAGGTGAGGAGTATGCATATCATTAATAAAATTAAGCAATAAGACCAGGCTGAACAGTTAATCGTGCATTTGACTACATGTTGACATCCCTAAGGAAAAGTCCAGTAAACAGTTAGGCTCCTGAACCCTAGTAGCTGAGGTTCTTCCAGTCCATTCTGTTATCTGAGGACAGCTGCAGAACACCAGCCAGTCCTGCAGTTCCGTGCCTTACTGAAGGGCCTGGCTAAACTGGCATCCAGTTGTTGCACAGACTGCTTTCCCTATTGTGGTGATTAGCCTGCATTGCCTCACATGCTCAGTTTTGTGTATGCCAGTAAGCCTGTCTTCACGAATATGTCAAAGGGCTTCTGTCTCTGGAACCTCCTCCCAACCCCCGGTATTCAGCAGTATCCTTTGCCTGAATCTCTGCTCCTTCCCACAGGTTGTGTATGAGCCTGGAATAGACTCCCCACTCTGGCTTGTTCTAAAACACCTCATGCCAGGAAGTTCTACTCCCTCTAGCCAGGAACAAAATCCCCATCCTCAGCCAGATCCAATCAGGAGGTACCTAGAACATGGGCTCATACCCATATCTCCCCAGCCACTTAGAAAAACAGCAGGGGGAGCTTTAGAGTGTTCTTAAAACTCCAGCTTTGGAAACTTTGTTGTTGTTGTTGTCCTTCTTCTTCTTCTTCCTGCAGCAGAGCAGGGAAAAGGTGGGAAGTGCCTTCACTCAACCCCTCCCCCATCAGAATGTTATCAGAATTTGCCCTCTGACATACACACTCTGATCTGGCTTTACACTTGCTGATTGCCTAACTGATTTGCTGTGTGTCCTAGTCTGCTTCCATCATCCCTCAGTTACCACACTCACCCTGCTGTCAGCCAGCCTCCATCCCCCTTTCCTTCTTTTTCCTTCCTTCCCTTTCTCCTTTTCTTCCTCTCAGTATTCCTGTCCACTCTCTCATCTATTCATTCTCTTCCCAAAGTGAGCTTTACAAATAGGATTGTGATTATTTGCATGTAATAAAAACATATATAAAATGAATCAACGGGGTGTGCAGAGCAACCAAAACAATCACACGTGGTCTGGTATTTCTAAGCCTTAGACCTGCTCTCACCTTCCCCACTTGCTTTGTTCCTTTGTCTTCACTTCTTTTGTCTTCTCTCTAAGGATATTGAAAACTCTTTGAGGGCAGGGATCCTGTCTTTTATTTGTCTGTGAAGAGCCTAACACAATATGAGCAACCTATAAATACTAAGCTAACTTTCCTTTTTGGATTTCAGAGTATGATATTAAAGCAGACCTTGTGTTCTTGATTGATGGTTCCACAAGTATACTCCCAGATGACTTCATCAAGATGAAGAAATTCTTGGAAGCTGTAATAGATCAGATTGTTGATGGACACAATGTTCAAGTTGGCATTGCCCAGTACAGTCACTTGTATAAAAGAGAAATCAACTTGGGTGCTTATCAGAACAAATCAGAACTGAAAGTGCAAATTCAGAACATTGAACAGATGACAGGAAATACTTTAATTGGAAATGCACTTAAGAATGTGAAGGAATTCTTTGCCCCAGCAGGTAGTAGAAAAGTAACAAGAAATATCCGGTCAATTTTGGTGGTACTCACTGATGGACAGTCAATGGATGATGTTTCTGAACCAGCGGAAAATCTGAGAAGGGAAGGTGTTGATATATATGCTATAGGAGTTGGGGATATTAGTCACTTGGAGCTCACGCAGATAGCTGGTGGTGCAGAAAGGAAGTACACGGTTAATGATTTCAGTAAGCTGAAATTCATTAAAAAAAGATTAATTAATGACATATTCAAAACTGTCATTTCTACAAGTAGGTATTAATGACTAAATGTCAATCCTGACTTCTTGCCTCTGTCCCACCTCTCGAGCTGTTTTTCTTCAAACTTGCATTGTTTTTGACCATTACTGAAGGGGTCTAATAAAAGCCAGGTTTGAATTTTCTAGCTACAGCATTTATAAATTACTCTTGCCCAAAATAAATGACTAGACCAGGCAGAGACAATGCTTTATTTACATACTCCATAACACACAAATGGAACTACACGTTTTTGATTCTGCTTTCAAAATAATCTAGGGGGTCACACTTCTTGTGCCTTCCATAGATCAAGATCATCGCATGCCCCCAGGGCTCCTTGCATTCCTCTGTTCCCTACCACAAACTATGTGGGCTCCTCTCCTATTGCCCTCTATTTCAGGGGTTCACTGAAACCCCATCCTCATGGCAAGGGCTTTGTGCCCTTCATAGCTTTGTCTACCATTCTCCTCCTCTCATTCGAGGGGCTATATGCCCCCGCCCCCCACACACACACCTCCAGCTTCCTCGTCTCCCCTCATCATTCATTTTTCTTTCTGTCTGAGAGATAAAGAATTATAGACGGGGTTGAATCTGCCTTCTTAGCAGATGCCAGTTCAAAAGTTATTTGTATGTCATCCAGACAGACAGAAGAATGCCATCGACTTGACTGTAGGGTTCTGCTGCTGTGAGCACCCATTTATTAGTATTGGCCTATGCATGAAACAGAAGTGACAGTATGACTTCTAGGTGTATTGAATAGGCTCTTAGTGTAGATCGCATTATTGAATCTTAAAACATCTTTCAATACAATGCACTGATAAAATGCTACGTTTCAGTCTAACCGCTAGTGGGGAATAATACGAAACCAACCCCGGTTCTGCTTCTATTAAAATAAACAACAAAACTCCCAGGCTACGTCTACACTGGCATGATTTTCCGAAAATACTTTTAACGGAAAAGTTTTCCGTAAAAAGCATTTTCGGAAAAATCACGTCTAGATTGGCAGGCTGCTTTTCCGCAAAACCACTTTTTGAGGAAAAGCATCCGTGGCCAATCTAGACGTGGTTTTCCGCAAAAAAGCCCCGATCGCCATTTTCGCGATCGGGGCTTTTTTGTGGAAAACAGTACTATGCTGTCTATACTGGCCCTTTTGCGCAAAAGTCTTTCGGAAAAAGACTTTTGCCCGAACGGGAACAGCATAGTATTTCCGGAAAAGCACTGATGATTTTACATGAGATCGTCAGTGTTTTCCAGAAATTCAAGCGGCCAGTGTAGACAGCTGGCAAGTTTTTCCGCAAAATCATCTGATTTTGCGGAAAAACTTGCCAGTCTAGACACAGCCCCATTGACATCAGTGAGTGTACAACTTGTTAAATGCAGTGGGTCTCAAACTTTTGGGCCAGTGGCCCACCCCACTCAACACAAACCTTTCCATGGCCCACGCGCCAACCCTCCATTGTGATAAAATATCTTAACTTATCTCTAAATACCTTAAGTACTAAATTCATATTAGTCTACTAGAGCTATAACATAAGGGGGCGTATGCAACTTGTAAGAAAGGAAATATGGTTACTCAAAATCAAAATAAACAGCTTAAGAACTTTATTATGTTAGTTTACCAAATTTTGTTTTAAATAAAGTAAAATATTAATTTGCATCTAAAACAAAAGGGGAGGAGAGGAGAGGGGGCAGTAAGGACCAAGGTTGGGGGCTTCCCACAGGCCAGATTCACTTTTGGGGGTCTTGGGATTTAATAGAGTTTGAGAGTCCCTCTAGGTTCTGGGGTGAAGTCAAAAATGAGGGGTTCAGTTTGTAGGGCGGGGGTTAGGGGTCTGGGTGGGAGGTAGGAACCTTAAGTGGGCTGGGGCTGGCGTGTCTGGCCAGAAAGAAGGGTGCAGAAGTTGGCTGAGGGTGGGGGAGAGGGTCTGGATGGGAGGGAGGGGCAGTAGTGGGTGAAAGAGAGGGTGTTTGGCCAGAATGGAGGGTTCAGGAGCAAGGGAGGGTGCGGTGTCTGGCCAGGAGGAAGGGAGCAGGAGCGGGGTGGGGTGTTTGGCCAGGAAGGAGGGTGCAGCAGTGGGCTGATGGTGGGGGGGAGGGCAGTCTGAAAGGGAGGGAGGGTGTAGTAGTGGGCTGGGGGCAGGGTTTCTGGCCAGGAGCAAGGGGGCAGGAGCAGGCTTGGAGAGCAAGATCTGGGCAGGAGAGGGATGCGGGGGGGGGGGCTTATCTGGCTCCACACCGCTCCCCCGCTCCCAGGTGTTGCTTCTATTGGCTGCGACCTCCTACTGCTCCCATTGGCTGCGACTTTGGCCAATCGGAGCAGCAGAGAGAGCCTCCAGGCAGCACATGTGTGCATTGCTGTTCTCCCAGTTTGGGAGAGGGGGAGTAACAGTGCGCAGAGCCGCCACTTCTCCCGCGAGCCGGATCCCGCGATGAGGTTTGGGGCTCTCCCCGAGCTGGAAGCCAGTGCTGGCACTCCAGCCTCACGGTGGGAGGTAGACTGGAGCCTGGGCTCACCACTGGAAGGGCCACGCTTTCAGAAGCATTGGTTCAGTGGTTCAAATGGAAAAAAATCATTATAACTTCAAAATACTTGTTTTCAGTTAATTACAATTGCTGTTGGAAAGTGTTTCACTTTTCAGCAGAAGTACATAAATCAAGGCACTGAAGTAAAAGATGAATTCAAGGTGAATTTGGTTCATACAATCATAGAACACTAGAACTGGAAAGGACCTTGAGAAATCATCAAGTCCAGTCCTCTGCCTTCATGGCAGGACCAAGCACCATTTAAATCAGTGTTTCTCTACCAGTGGTATGTGTACCCTTAGGGGTACGTGAGAGAAGTCTGAGGGGTACGAAAACACAAGTGAAATTTGGCAAAAAATGTCTGGGATTTTGCCCTGCAAAGAGGATTGGGGAGAGGGTGGCGGCACGTGCCTGCCAAATTGAATGTTTGGAGGCATGCGCCTGGACGTTAACAGCCGCTCTGTGCATGCGTCCCAGAGCCTGGTGGGAAAAGGCGTGTGGCTGTGGTAGCTCCGGTGAGACACAGGGCCGTTCCAAGTTGGAGGTGGGCGTTTGGCCAGTGGCGTAGCGAGGGAGGGCTGGGGGTCGGTTGCCACCGAGCGCAACACTGGAGGGGCACCGGGCTGGGATGGGAGTGAACAGCCCTACATGGCAAGCCCGGCACTGGCGAGCCACTTGCTCCCTGCAGACAAGCCACCAAGGCAGAGCTGGGTGGCAGGAGCAGGCTCTTCAAAGGTAGGGTTAGCATATGTCCAGTTTTTCCCGAACATGTCCTTGTCTTCCCATGTTAAATTGCCGTCCAGCCAGCTTTTTTAAAACACAAAAAATGTCTGGGATTTGGGGAGGGGGTGGCAGCACTTGCCTTCAAGGAAGAGTTCAACCATCTTTTGGAGCCGTGCACCTGGACAGTTCATGGCTGCTCTGTGAACACGCCCCAGTGCCTAGAGAGAGAAGCGCATGGCTGCGGCAGTGGCTCCGGTGAGACCCATCGTGTTACTAAAAGAATAAAACAATGTGGGGTTGCCTAGCTCTGGGGGAGGGGGAGGGCATTGGGTTAGAGCAGGGAGACTGGGGGTGCCTGGCTCTGGGGGATGGGTGAGGGCATTGGGTTAGGCTGGGGGTACTTATAATTTTTTTAAAGGGGTAATTTATATATATATA